TGTTTCATAAGCTTCGTTACCTTGTAAACTATTCCGAATCCTCCTTGCCCAAGCTTATTTTCTTCACTGAAGTTATTAGTTGCTGCCTGGATGGTGGCAAAGTCATATTGCAAAGACTCCGCCTTAATCATTTCATCTACAGCTACCAAAAGCAACACATACATAGGGGTAAGATTAATCACATGCCTCGCCAGCAGAAGGAATGGATTTCAAACATATTTTAGTTATTTACCCAAAAAAGAAAACATTTCTTACTTTCAACAGTTTCCTTTGGCTTTCTTTGTCTTAAAAATATCCTAAGCACAAGCAAGAGAACGCCAACAAGAAGTGGAGCAACTACTACGGAAATGATGATTGTTCTAGTTGTGTAACTTGTGTTGTTTCCTTTTCCTGGACAAAATTGAAAGAACGAAATTTTTTTCAAGCACTGAAAATTAAATGAAAAGATTTTTTTTTAAGATGAGCCATCACTTTTCTTTATTAATTAATTTGTATGAAAAATCAATAAATAATTTTATTTTCAAGACTAATGCAAGTGAATATTTTTAATTGCACCATTGATAAAATTTAAATAATTCTTATTTTTGCATAAAAATTAATAAAAAAAAAGTGCAATTAATAAACTATGGTTAAGGTACAAGTTAAAAACACTCTAAATGTAATAACCTCTCCAATAGTAGAATTTTTTTTTATTTTATCTTTAAATTAGGGATTTGAGAATAATTTATTTTTTTACTTATATTCTCCTAAAAATATATAGATAAAAGGAGATTTTTTTTATGATAAAATGGAATTAAAACTAAGAAAATAGAAAAAAGTATTTATCTATCTTAAAATAAGAAAAAATGTTGTTCAAAAAAAGAAGAAAAAACAATTATTCTTTTTGTCCAACTTTAATAGATCTAGATTTTTTTGAATAAAATAATGTAATAAATGATAAATTTTTTTTATTTAATATACATTTTGTAATCATCTTTTTTTTTAAAAAATAAAATAAAAATAAGTACATCAAATAATCTTAATAAAGAGTAAAAAAATAAATTTAAAAAACTCAAATTAAAAATTAAATTTACCAAGTTTAAAACAGAAGAGAGCATTATTCTAGACAAATCCTTTATTAAAAAATGTTTATTGTTTTAGTAGGAGGGGATAAGATGGATATAGGAGTATTTTGCAAACCGTTAGCTACCTTCTGTTGCTGTTAGAGTTGGAGAAGGAGGTGAGCTACCTTCTGTTGGAGTTGGAGAAGGAGGTGAAAACGGTACAATAGTGATCTTAGCTGAATCGTCCAAAAAAAAATCAATCTCGTATCTTAAGAAACAGCTGGGTTGAAGAATTCTGCATCCGGTGTTTCCATAGCAGAAATTCCTCATCCTGTCGCCGCTGGCC